ACTAATTTCTTTTCCTCCTATCCTTAAAGCTTAAATCTTTACCTTTACTCTCTTATTTACTTAAACTTAGTTAAGCAGCGTGCCAGTAAATTATAACACCTGAAATTTACTGTTTATGATAACTCTGAGGTGGAATTTTTATGTCGAAATATAACTTGTGTTCATTTATTCATATAATATTTTTAATAAATGTTTGTATGTTTAATCCTGTTCATATATCTAAAAAATAAATTACTTTGTTTTGGAAATACGTTCAGGTCACAAGTTTTCATTTCTCATTCATGATCAGAGTTGGTGTCTTGTCATCTGTCTGGGATTTCATAATGCAAAGATCTTGAGGAATTATTTTGTGAGATTAGGCTGGTCCTAGTTTCATAGGGTAGTTCTTACATGTCCTATAATTTTCTTTCTTTTTCTTTATTTCCTTAAGGTCAGTACACATAAGTGTGTATATGTGGTTCTGTAACAGAAACAAATAAACAATATACAGATATAAATTAGACTAAAACAAGTCTCTCAAATAAATAATAAATGATTATAGCAATACATAGTGATAATAGAATAACTCTGAAATTTAAATCCCAAAATAAATATGTACCAACAATTAAAGTGTGACATTCATCCAATTGCCTACCTACAGTAATTTAGGCTACAACTTGCATTACTAATATTAATTGCTGAGACATTCGGCAAATATTCAAATACAAAAATAAACATCAAAAAACCACAAGGAAGTAAACATTTGGGACTACTAAACATTTTATCATTAATAATATTCAAGCGTTTCCWTGCCATAAGCAACACATATGGCATTAATTAAAGGCAGCAAACTGCGCCACTGTGAACGTCACAACACGTGCAGCAATATCTCAAACAGTCCACACTCATAAAAACAACCTAAATTACAAGAAACATAAAACCAAATCACTTACTGGTAGTTTGCACGCATGTACACAAAACCAGCAACTCTGTTAAAATCATAAAACTGACCKTCCTCTGTGCTGCGCTCCACAGAGGTCCTCCTGCACTGTCTCTGCACTCAATTGGTGTGCGGCTCTGATTGGCTGATATCTTAACAAGAAATTGAGTGAACTAGTTGGACCACTCTTCACGACAACGTTCCTTTTTTCTAAACTGGGCAACAGCTGTCCTGCTGCACAGTCTCATTACACAATTGGTGTGCAGTTCTGATTGGCTGACATCTTAACAAGAAATTTAGCCAAAAGAGTAGGACATTCTACTGTAAATCAAGTACACTAAAGCTTAAAACATAAAATATATTTATAAAAGAAATAAAGAGCTGTCCCAAGAAAGCTACAT